CGTGAGCTCATGAAGACTGAACACGTGTTTCGTCTCTGCATCCCGAGGACCTAGTTCCAAAAGATGCGTGTCCTGTGTCTTAGCCTGCTTGGGCTGCTATAACAAAATACCATTCCCTGGGGTGGCTTAGTATACAACCATCGACTTCTCCCAATTCTGTGTTTTGGGTTTTTGTTTTGTTTTGTTTTTGTTTGTTTTTGTTGTTGTTGTTTCGCTCTTGTTGCCCAGGCTGGAGTGTAATGGCAAGATCTCGGCTCACCGCAACCTCCGTCTCCTGGGTTCAAGCATTCTCCTACCCTAGCCTCTCAAGTAGCTGGGATTACAGGCATGTGCCACCACGCCCAGCTAATTTTTGTATTTTTTATAGAGATGGGGTTTCACCACGTTGGCCAGGCTGATCTCGAACTTCTTCTGACCTCATGTGATCCACCCGCCTTGGCCTCCCAAAGTGCTGGGATTACAGGCGTGAGCCATTGTTCCTGGCCTCTTTTTTCATTTTTCCAGGTTCTAGAATGCAGAAAGACTTTTCTGTTTGTTTGTTTGTTTGTTTGTTTTGTTTTTGTAGAGATGGCGGTCTCACTATGTTGTGCAGGCTGGTCTTGAAGTCCTGAGCTCAGGCAATCTCCTACCCTTGACCTCCCAAAGTGTTGGGCTTACAGACACGAGCCACCATGCCCGACTTTAGGTCTCCCAGTTCTAGAGGCTGGGAAGTCCATTGGCAAGGGGCTGGTTATTGGCTTATTAGCAGACAGCTGCCTTCCCACTGTATCCTCACATGGCCCAGAGAGAGCACACCGTAGTCTCTTTCTCTTCTTTTAATACAAACACTAATCCCAACATGGGGGCTTCACTTTCATGACCTTATCTAAACCTTATTTCCTCCTAATGGCCCCACCTCCTAATACCACCCCACTAAGAGTTAGGATTTCAATGTGTAGTACATGACACCATGGAATATTGATTTGTTTGAAAGGTCTGATTTCAGGCCAGGCACGGTAGCTCATGCCTGTAATCCCAGCACTTTGGGAGGCCGAGGCAGGTAGATCACCTGAGGTCGGGAGTTCAAGACAGGCTTGGCCAACATGTTGAAACCCCATCTCTACTAAAAATACAAAAATTAGCTGGGTGTGGTGGCATGCGCCTGTAATCCCAGCTACTTGGGAGGCTGAGGCAGGAGAATTGCTTGAACCCAGGCGGCAGAGGTGGCAGTGAGCCAAGATTGCACCACTGCACTCCAGTCTGGGCGACAAGAGCGAGAGACTCAGTCTCAAAAAAAAAAACAAAGAAATATCTGATTTGAAACATCCTGGGCCACTGCTCATTCTGATGCCTGATACACTCCTGCTTATTAAGCCCTGTATTCCCCACTTAGGCGCAATGCACAGTCCCAGACCTCATAAGGAACAGAGGCCCAGCTAGCTCTGGGACCTAGGAGCCCATGCCTTCTACCTGCTCCTTTGTCCTATTCAGAGCTTTGCCTGCTGCTTAAAACACTCAGATCAAGCATTAGCAATCAGCATTGCTACCAGATGAAGGGTCTAAAGTCAAGTAAACTGAATGACCAGTAGTGATACCCAATTACTACGTCAACGGTCTTGGGTGAGACACTAAAGCCAACTAAGGACCCAAGTAAAAACTCCCTAAGTCCTGGGCCCCCTTGTCAGGAAAGAGTGGGAAGCCGCACTCTAGGGATACCTGGTGGTTTTGACAAACAGGCCCAAGTTGGGGGAGGGGCTTGAGGCAGGGGCCAGAGTCATGGAGGAGGAAGGGCAAGGACCTGGGGGCCTTTTCTGCTGATGCTCAGAAAACCATTTGGCATGTGGAAATCCCAAAGAAATCAGCATTTCTGGGGATTTCCTTCTGTAATGTTAAATGCCAACAGGACTCGGGACTTTTCACTTAATAACCAGTTAATGAAGTAACAAAACTGTTCCCCTCTTTTGTATAATAAAGAGGCTGTGGGTTGATTTGCCTTTTAAGTGATTAATTAACGGGTGGATGTCCAGGCCCTATGCCCACTTCAGAGGGGGCATTAAACAGTCCCAAGTCCCCATTCCTTCCCCTAAGAACACAGTGTTGTTTGGTTCACTACAAAAGCAGAAGAGACTGTCCCCACTAGCCTTGAAGCATCCATGTGCCATGGGGCACAGGGGCCTGAAACCATCGCAAAGATCCAGTGAGCTGGGAGACGCTCAACCCTGCAGATGGGAGAAGAGGCTCTGCCCTTTCTACTCTTGACAATCTGAAATAAAACAACAGTGTTCTCAGAAAGTCCTGATAAACCCTTAAGATGCAATGTCTGAAGCTACTTTTGAGATTCAATCCTTAAATAGGTTTTATTACCAAGAAAACAGGATGTCTGGACCTCCTGCATGGCTGCCTCTACCCTCCCTGCTGAGCTTCTAAAAAACGTCCCATGTGGCTGAACGAGGGGTGGGGGATTCCTGCATATTCAAGGGGCTGCTGTGATCACTACAGGTAGAGTCCCTTTTTAATTCTGCCCAAGTGGACAGCCGTGCAGCACGTGTTTTCTTGCCCACTTAGGCTAAGGCTATAGAAAACACCAAGTTTCTTGGAGTCCATTGCCCTTGAGGAGTGGAATCCTGAGGGGAAGATAAGATGAACATATATGGGTTCATTAGAAGGCAGCAGAAGGCAGTTATGAAGGGGCGGGGAGGGTGACTGTGTGCGCATGTGTGCAGGTACACGTGTGTGTGCACTTCCATCCCACAGTCTGTGGGTGTGCCCTCCAAATAACTGTGCACAATTTTGGAGTTGTCCATTATTTCACAATGTCCATTCTTTGCCCTGACATCTGACAGAGGTTGTAAGCCAGCAACCCTCACGCATATATGATTTGTTAGAGATACACTGTGGTATGGTTTTGTTTTTGCTTTCTTGTTTTTTGGGTTTTGGGGGTTTTTTAAGAGACAGGATCTCAATGTGTCAGGCTGGAGTGCAGTGGCGCGATTATGGCTCACTGCAGCCTTGAACTCCTGGACTCCAGTAATTCTCCCAGTTCAGCCTCCCAAGTTAGCTGGCACTACAGATTCACACCACTACGCTCAGCTATTTAATAATTTTTATTAATTTTTTTTTTGAGACAGAGTCTTGTTCTGTCACCCAGGCTGGAGTGCAATGGCACATTCTGGGCTCACTGCAACCTCTGCCTCCTGAGTTCAAGTGATTCTCCTGCCTCAGCCTCCTGAGTAGTTGGGACTACAGATGCGCACCCCCACTCCCAGCTAATTTTTGTATTTTTAGTAGACACGGGGTTTCACCATGTTGGTCAAGCTGGTCTCGACCTCCTGAACTCAGGTGATCTGCCCGCCTCAGCCTCCCAAAGTGCTGGGATTACAGACATGAGCCACCACGCCCAGCCCCTTTTTATAATTTTTTGTAAAGACAAGGTCTCACCAGGTTGTCCAGGCTGGTCCGGAATTCCTGGCCTCGAGTGATCCTCCCACCTGGGAGGATTACCCAGTGTAATCCCAAAGCACTGGGATTACAGGTATGAGCTACCACACACAGCCCACTTCTTCGTTATTCTTATTTACTTTTATTTTATTTTATTTTATTTTACTTTTCATTCTTTTTTTTTTTTTTTTTGAGATAGGGTCTTGCTCTGTCACCCAGGCTAGAATGCAGTGACACAGTCTTGGCTCACTGCAGCCTATGCCTCCCAGGCTCAAGTGATCCTCCGTCCTCAGCCTACCGAGTAGCTGGAACAACATGTACACATCACCACGCCCGGCTAATTTTTGTATTGCTTATAGCGACAGGGTTTCATCATGTTACCCAGGCTGGTCTTGAACTCCTAGACTCAAGCAATCTGCCCACTTCAGCCTCCCAAAGTGCTGGGATTATAGGCATGAGCTATCACACCCAGTCTTTTGTTAATTAGTAGTTTCTAATATTTCAAGATCAGGGGATTTCACATAAAAGCCAGGTATCCTATGTCTCTTGTAAAATGAAAAGATCTGATATTCCAGGTTCACATTTTCACAAAAAAGCACCAAGCAGCTGGAGCTAGGTAGTAGCTGCCCCCTGCAGATGAGGCCTGTGCTTATGGGTTTGCTGTAGGCCCCACCACTCCCTAATGCCTTACGTTCATCCTGCTTCCCTCTTTAAGGTTACCTATCTGTGCCTTCTAGATGCGGGAATTTGTAACATCCGTCTGGTAGAATGAAGGATAGCTCCCAAAGATAAACAGGGTCTAATTCCTGGAATCTATGAACGTATGGCAAAAGAGACTTTTCAGGTGGAATTATGTTAAGGGTCTTGAGGTAGGGGGATCACCTTGCATTCTCCTGGTGGACCCTAAACTCCATCACAGGTGTTATTCTAAGTGGGAGCCAGAGGGGAGATTTGACTAAGAGGCACGTGAACAACAGAATTAGAGTTGAGAATGATATGGCCCTAGCTTAGAAATGCCGGAAGCTGGAAAAGGCAAGGAAGGAATTCTCCCCTAGAGACTCCCCAGGAAAACAGTCCTGCTGATGCCTTGATTTTAGCCCCCTAGGACTCATGTCAGACATCTGGCCTCCAGATCTGTAGCAGGGTAAGTTACTATTGTTTTAGCCACTAAATTAGTGGTTGGTTGTTACCGCAGCAATAGAAAAGTAATATATCCTGCCAGCTAGTGAGCTCAACAAATGTCTTGAGTGCACAGAGTGCAGTGGGCAGGCCCTACCCTCGAGGAGCTTATAACCTAGAAGGAGAGGACAAAATGATCATGGCAGTGGAACATGATCAAAGCAACAGAGGGATAAGCCCTAGGGACTCTAGGCACATACCTGAGGAATCTCTAATCCAGGACTGTGGATTTCCAGAAGGCGCTGTTTTCCAGCTTTATTTATAGGAGACATGTATGCATCCATCTCTGCTGGGCAGCAAAACTCTGTCAAGGCCTCAGGCGTGCCGAGGTCAAGGGACGTGGTGTGTGTGCACGGGTAGGTGGAAGCAGGGGGAGGCCCTGGGGAGGGAGGGAGGCTCCTCACCTTGCCTGCTGGATGAACTGGGTTGCTTTCTCCGCATACTTCCGGGCAAGGCTGCTCAAGTTCACCGGCTGTTCCACAATGTGGAGGTTTTCATAGAGAGGGAGGGCCACGTCAGTGTAACAGTCTCTTTGAAGGTTGCTGTGTGGAAACCACAGACCGTAGAGTATTCATTTCCTACGTACTCACGGAGCAGAACTAAATGCTTTAATGCAACAATGCATATGCACATAAATACAACTCTGGCCCCAGATGATTTTTCCGGTTGGCCATTTCCTCCAAGTGTAAAAGTCTATGCATAATGCTTTCTTCCATTCCCTCTGAATAGATATTTAGGCTCCTCGGACAAGCTGACCACTCCGTAAAGCTTACAAACACTCTTGTGAGCTGGGACGTTATTTTTTATTACTTCCATTTTGCAGGAAGAGAAACTGAGGTCTAAAGAGGCTAAATGATGTCAAGCAGAGTCCCCCCGCCAGTCAGTAGCCCCATTGCCGGCTTTCTCTGCGGTCTCACTTCAATCCCAGCCTCTGTGTATGGTGTGTAACTTGGCGTTTTCTGAAGTCAACACTCGGGACTTCATGTAATACCAGATCTGTCAATAGGACAGAATATATAAGATGGGCCAGGTGCGGTGGCTCATGCCGGTGATCCCAGCACTTTGGGGGACCGAGGCCAGCAGATCATTTGAGGTCAGGAGTTCGAGACCAGCCTGGCCAACATGCTGAAGCCCTGTCTCTACTAAAAATACAAAAAGTAGCTGGGCACGGCAGTGCGCACCTGTAATCCCAGCTACTCAGGAAGCTGAGGCAGGAGAATCATTTGAACCCAGGAGGCGGAGGTTGCAGTGAACTGAGATCATCCCACTGTACTCCACCCTGGGTGACAGAGTGAGACTCGGTCTCAAAAAAAAAAAAAAGGAATACATAAGATGGATTGGGACAATTTGAATTTTAAGCCATATTTGCAGAATTTGGAGAAACTTCAGCAGTTGGAAAAAAAAATAAGAGTTAAACTAATAACATCTCCTGGAAAAAAAAAAAAAAAAAAAAAAAACAAGCTCATGGCCAGGCGCGGTGGCTCAGGCCTGTAATCCCAGTACTTCAGGAGGCTGAGGCAGGTGGATTGCCTGAGGTCAGAAGTTCAGGACCAGGCCGGGCACAATGGCTCACACTTGTAATCCCAGCACTTTGGGAGGCTGAGGCGGGTGGATCACCTAAGGTCAGGAGTTCAAGACCAGCCTGGCCAACATGGTGAAACCCTATCTCTACTAAAAATACAAAAATTAGCCATGGTGGTGCACACCTGTAGTCCCAGCTACTCAGGAGGCTGAGGCAGAAGAATTGCTTGAACCCAGGAGGCGGAAGTTGCAGTGAGCTGAGATTGCGCCATTCCACTCCAGCCTGGGCATCAAGAGCAAAACTCTGTCTCCAAACAAAGCAACACAAGCTCAAGCTTTGATCTTACAGATGGAAATGAATCTGACCCATGGCTGCCCATCAATGTGGCCAAGTCATGGTCTGACTCCAGTCATGATCTCTGGCAGGTTACTTAAGCTCCCAGAGTTATCTCCTTATCTGTAGCAATGGATGGCCTGTGCCATCCTTATAGGGGTGCTGGTGGTCTAAAGGAGATAACAAATGGTTAGTGCATTGCACACAGCTTCAGTGTATTAGGAATTCCAAAAAAACTCAAGCTCTCAGTCCTGGTCACCAAAGAGAACCAAGAGAGAAGCTGAGAGCAATGGAGACAGAGGTGGTAATGAATGGAGTCCTCTCAGGCAAATACATCGTCCTAATAGTGCTGGGACGGATTTGTGAAGAAATCAAAACTCCCCATCACTCTACATGCACACACACACACCCCATTATAGAAATATAGGAGATATAGTCAGACTGGGTAGATAATTGTTAAAAACCACAATTTTTGTTTTGTTTTATTTTTTTGACACAGGGTCTCACTCTGTCGCCCAGGCTGAAGTGCAGTGGCACAATCTCAGCTCACTACAGTCTCAAACTCCCATCTTAGCCTCCTGAGTAGCTGGGACTATAGGAGTGTGCTGCCACGCCCTGCTAATTTTTGTATTTTTTGTAGAGACGGGGTTTTGCCACGTTGCCCAGGCTGGTCTCGAACTCCTGAGCTCAAGCAATCCGCCCACCTCAGCCTCATGTGCAGGGATTATAGGCATCCCAAATTTTTTAAAAGAGAAAAAGAATTATCACCATGCTGGGCATTATAACACTAATCGCATATTTATGTCGAATTTTTCAGCTTTTTATTATATCATTGCAACTTCATAAGTCATTTACATTCTTTCCTTTTTTTCCTCTCTCTCTCCTAAGCCACCATTTTTTTCTGTTTGATTTTTTTTTTTTTTAGGCAGGATCTGGCTCTGTCACCCAGGCTGGAGTACAATGGCATGATCTCAGCTCACTGCAACCTCCTCCTCAAGCCATCCTCCCACCTCAGCCTCATGTGCAGCTGGGACTACAGGCATGGGCCACCACACCCAGCTAATTTTTGTAATTTTTGTAGATACGGGGTTTTGCTGTGTGACCAAGCTGATCTCAAACTCCTGGGCTCACAAGGTCTGCCCACCTCAGCCTCCCAAAGTGCTGGGATTACAGGAGTGACCCACTGCACCTGGCTTTCTATTGGATTTTTAACATAGATTAAAAAGAGATTTTTAACATAGATTAACAATTTTTTTTAAAAATTTAAAAAACTAAAACAGGAGCAGGATTGAAATTTTTAAAAAAAGAAGAAGAAGAAGAAGAAGAAAAAGGCCAGGGGCAGTGGCTCATGCCTGTAATCCCAGCATTTTGGGAAGCCAAGGTAGGCAGATCACTTGAGGTCAGGAGTTCAAGACCAGTTTGGCCAACATGGTGAAACCCCATCTCTACTAAAAATACAAAACTTAGCCAGGCGTGGTAACATAAGCCTGTAATCCCAGCTACTCAGGTGACTGAGGCAGGAAAATCACTTGAATCCGGGAGGCAGAAGTTGTAGTGAGCAGAGATAGTACTACTGCACTGCAGCCCGGGCAACAGAGCAAGACTCCATCCCCCCACCCCCCCCAAAAAAATAAAAATTTTAAATTTTTTAAAAGAGACTGGCTGACATATGTCATACCTCCATATGGCCAGGTGTGATTACAGGTGTGCCCAAGAGGCCACGGTGGGTGAGGAGGGCAGCAGGATGCTCTATAGCCTCGTTTCTCGTGCCATAATGTGCAGAATCCCTGGGTTTTTGTTGTTTGTTTGTTTGTTTGTTTTTATTTTTGTTTGAGACTGGATCTTACTCTGTCGCCCAGGGTGAAGTGCGGTGGCGCAGTCATAGCTCACTGCACGCGTAAGTCTTGTTAAAAGGCAGACCTGGGGGTAGGGTGTGAATTCGTGCACCTCTAACAAGCATGTAGGTGATATCCATTAGGCTAGTTCAGTGACTACACTATGAGTAGCAAAGACAGGAAGGGCCTATGGGCTCTGGATTCAGAGAGACCCAGATTGGAATCTCCATTCCTACCTCTTTCCAGCTCCAGTGTAACCTGGGTAACATAAGCTTCCTCATCTGTAAAATCAGGTATCAGGTTGGTGCAAAAGTAATTGCAATTTTTGCCATTGAACGTAATGGCCAAAACCGCAATTACTTTTGCACCAACCTAAGAAATACCTACCTCACACAGTGGTCATGCGGATTACAGATAAACATAGACAGTGCTTAGACTGTAACAATTTCTCAACAAACACCCATTATTATATTAACTATTGTTTTATAGATAGACCAGCTGAGACTCACCTTTCTCAAGTGGCTCAGACACCTGTAGCCTTAGAAATAACCACAGTGCACTGTCTGAACAAGGGAACACGTGTTTTGTGCTGCATTCTTACCTAAGTAAGGCTTATCATCTTTTTTTTGTGATCATAAATGCACCGCAGGACATTTAGGAAATACAATGAGAAAGAGGAAAATAAAAACCCTGGCTGGGTGCGGTGGGTCATGCCTGAAATCCCAGCACTTTTTGGACAAGCGGGTGGATCACCTGAGGTCAGGAGTTCGAGACCAACCTGGCCAACATGGCGAAACCCCGTCTCTTCTAAAAATACAAAAATTAGCCTAGTGTGGTAGTGGGCGCCTGTAATCCCAGCTACTCAGGAAGCTGAGGCAGGAGAATCGCTTGAACCAGGGAGACAGAGGTTGCAGTGAAATGAGATTGCGCCACTGCACTCTAGCCTGGGTGACAGAGCAAGACTCCATCTCAAAAAAAAATAAATAAATAAAGAGAAAATGAAAACCCTGAGTCCCACAACCAGAAAAAGTCCTTGATAACATTTTGGCATGTCTCTTTTGAGTCTCTGTTAATAGGACTACAAAGATAGGGCTACAGAGGTCATTAAGATCTTACTGTTAATGACTTGCTTCCTGCATTTTTTTTTTCACTTACTATTATATCATAAGCATTTTCCCATTTCATTAAATGTTTTTTCAAAACATCCTGTTTGGTGTCTGTTTGGCATTCCAACATCAGAACGCTTGTTTCAGGTATAGCCAAAGGCATTTGGGGCGCAGGCTCAAGCTGTATCCAGACTTGGGGCCGAGCGGATACAGCAGGAGAAAACCATGGCGAACAGGAAACCTTCAAAAAAAAAAAAAACTAGGGAGGTGGGGCCTGTAGTCCAGTACTCGGGGCTGAGGCAGGGAATGGTGACCGGAGGCGGCTTGCATGACTAATCCGGCACTGCATCCCCTCAACGACTCGTCTCAAAAAAAAAAAAAATCTATTCTTTCTCTCTCTCTCTCTCTCTCTCTCTCCCTCCTCCTCCCTCCCTCCTTATGTCCAGTGTCTGGGCTAGAAGCAAAGCCAGCAGGCAGAGGAGGAGGGAGGCCCCATATGTGTGAGGCCCTGGCAGCCCAAGGCTGTCCCCAGCTGAGCTCACTGGTCCAAGGAACCTGGAAATTTTCAATAGAAGAATTTTGTGGACCTCATCGTTGAAAGGTTTCTTGCACTCCCTGCAAATAACATTTAAATTTGCACAGAATGTACCGTGTATCTTATTTGCCGTCTTAACTGTTTCCTGTCTGCATCTTTCATTTATTGCTGATGGACCACAGTCTTGGAACTTTGCCTCGTCCTGGAGCCTATCGCAAATGTGTCAGACAGCATTACCTTGATGGTCCATCACCCTGTGGACATGCTGGACAAGGAGGGTGGTTGTAGCCTGGAGTATCAGTACAGCCCATATCATGGCTATATGGGATTCCAAAGTAGTAATCAAAACCTGGAATAGAAGCAACTGGTTAGCACCCCCACGTGGCTGTGACTCCATGTGCTTGCCTTCATACACCCACGACAAAAATGTAATTTCCTATGATTTAATACTGCAGTGCTATAGAGTATGTAATTAAAAGAGGATTTGATTAATATCCCTTTGTAGTATGCATAGAAAATCACTTTGCTGGGTTCTGGCTGTTAGATTAGATTTGCAAAACATCTTGTGATTAGAATTAACCCAGTTTGGGAGGAAGTGGAGAGAATTATTGAATGCCTAACATCTTCAATGAAATTATGAACATACTCAGTATTTGGTGAAAACCAACTAAACACATGACACTTTAAGGGATTAAAAAAAAAAGAAAATCAGTTGTTCTTAGCTGCCACATCCACAGAGAAAAAAATTATAAAAAAAGTTTTAGAAATAATGAACTCTGCCTTCAAGAGACTTTTCATGTGAAGAGAAAATAAGATATAAAGATTAAGCAATAAGAGATGAATAGGAGAGCCAACAACAGTGATCAGAGGAAGCTACCCCCGATAGAGATGGTGGGATGGGGATGGGGCAGGAATCTCAAAATGCTCCTTGAAAGATACTGCATTTCAGCCGGGACTCAAAAGGCTGGCAGAATTTGGGCTTGGAGTGGTAGAGTGAAGGTGAGGGATGGAAGGGTGTGAGCACTGAGATCCAAAGCCTTTGTGTTGAAGTTTTTTTCTGAGTTCCTCCTTCATTCTATCTCTTACCCAGCCCAAGCTTTTTTTATTTTTATTTTTATTTTATTTTATTTTTGAGACAGCGTCTCACTCTGTCACCCAGGCTGGAGTGCAGTGGGGCAATCTCAGCTCACTGCAAGCTCCACCTCCCGGGTTAATGCCATTCTCCTGCCTCAGCCTCCCAAGTAGCTGGGACTACAGGCATGTGCCACCACGCCTGGCTAATTTTTTGTATTTTTAGTAGAGATGGATTTTCACCGTGTTAGCCAGGATGGTCTTGATCTCCTGATCTCATGATCCACCCACCTCAGCCTCCCAAAGTGCTGGGATTCCAGATGTGAGCCACTGCACCCAGCCCAGCCGAAGCTTTTAATCAAAGGCTATAGCTGCATATGCAACTAGAATGAACAAATTCTCCAGAAAAATGAAACCTTCCCCCAATTGCCCAGGTAACTGCTTCAGCTGTTTATTTCTTTAGAGGTAGATAGAATTCAAATCTCACAAAGAATTGCTATTTCTCATTAGCCTCAAATTTTAGGCCCAGGAACAGGGAGAGCTGTGTTTTCAGCTTCAACTCCTGCCCCAAAAAATGCTTTTTGGCCCTCTCTATAAGCACACTTCCTAAAACAAGCAAGTTCCCTTCAGTTCCCTGTGAGCCTCATGCCTTGGGGCCTTGGTGGCTTTGCCTGGAATTATCTGCTCTGTGTCTCTCACAGGTGAAACTGCATTAGCACTTCCCAGCCCAGTTTGAGTGTGAAGTTTCCTACAGAATTTCCCTGCTCCTCACCTGCCACAGCCCTGCACTCAATCCCGCCTGCCACAGCCCTGCACTCAACCCATTCTCCTAGCATAACCTACAGACTTTTTATCATCTGGGTAATACCGTCTTCCCCATTAGTGATGCACTCCTCGAGTTAGATACTAGATCTTTGCCAACCCAATATGTGGTGTATGTAGAATAACTAGTAAATGTTTGTTGTATTTTTTTTTCTTTTTGAGACAGAGTCTCACTCTGTCTCCCAGGCTGGAGTGCAGTGGCATGATCTCAGCTCAGTACAACCTCCACCTCCTGGGTTCAAGCGAGTCTTGTGCCTCAGCCTCCCGAGTAGCTGGGACTACAGGCACCCGTCACCACACCCAGCTAATTTTTGTATTTTTGTAGAGACGGGGTTTCAGCATGTTGGCCAGGCTGGTCGCTAACTGCTGACCTCAAGTAATCCACCTGCCTTGGCCTCCCAAAGTGCTGGGATTACAGGCGTGAGCCACTGCGCCCAGACCATTTGTTGTATTTTTTTAAAAATTGAAACCTTCATGCTAACTTGGTTTGTACAAATGGATTTGGCTATCCCCTAAGTACGCAACATAGCCCTGAAATGCCACTGCATCCGGTATCAGGATGACGTTCCACCAAGGACAGCAAACTTTTGCTGGAAAGAGCCAAATAGTAAACATTTTAGGTTTTTTTTCTTTTTTTTTTTTTTTAGGTGGAGTCTTGCTCTGTCACCCAGGCTGAAGTGCAATGGTGCTATCTCAGCTCACTGCAAGCTCCGCCTCCTGGGTTCACATCATTCTCCTGCCTCAGCCTCCCAAGTGGCTGGGACTACAGGCGCCCGCCACCACGCCCAGCTAATTTTTTTTTTTCTTTTTTTTAGTAGAGACAGGGTTCACCGTGTTAGCCAGGATGGTCTCGATCTCCTGACTTCATGATCTGCCCGCCTCGGCCTCCCAAAGTGCTGGGATTACAGGTGTGAGCCACCGAGCCCAGCCAGTTTAGGTTTTGTGGGTCAGATGGTCTCTGTTAAGGCCACTCAACTCTGCCATTATAGTGCAAACCCACTCATTGACAATATGTACACAAATGACTGTACATATTGACATATTTGCTGTTTTTTTGTTTTGTTTTGTTTTGTTTTGAGACAGTGTTTTAGCATGTTGGCCAGGCTGGTCTCGAACTCCTGACCTCAAGTGATTCGCCTGTCTCGGCCTCCCAAAGTGCTGGGATTACAGGTGTAAGCCACCATGATCACCCTGTTTGCTGTATTTTTTTAAAAATGCTACCTTCCTGTTAATTTGGTTTGTACAAATGGATTTGGCTACCCCTTAGGTACACAACATAGCCCTGAAATGTTACTGCATTTGGTGTCAGGATGACTCTCCACCAGGGACAGCAAACTTTTGCTGGAAAGGGCCAAACAGTAAACATCTTAGGTTTTGTGGGTCAGATGACCTCTGTAAGGTCACTCAACTCTGCCATTGTAGCGCAAACCTACCCATAGACAATATGTACACAAATGACTGTAAATATTGGCTGTTTTCTTTCTTTTTTTTTTTTTTTTTTGAGACCGAGTTTCAGTTTTGCCGCCCAGGCTGCAGTGGTGCAATCTCAACTTACTGCAACCTCCACCTCCTGGGTTCAAGCAGTTCCCCTGCCTAAGCCTCCAAAGTAGCTGGGATTACAGGCATGTGCCACCATGCCAAGCTAATTTTTTATTTTTTCAGTAGAGACAGGGGTTCACCATGTTGGCCAGGCTGATCTCGAACTCCTGACCTCAGGTGATCCACCCACCTCGGCCTCCCAAAGTGCTGGGATTACAGGCGTGAGCCACCGTGCTTGGCCTTACTGTTTTCTAATAATGTTGTATTTACAAAAACAGGCAGCATACTGGATTTGGACCACAGGTCTATGCCAACCACTGATCTAGATCACAGGCATCCTCATACCCCAGTGCTAGAAAGACCTTGTTGTGTTTGCAGGAGCCCTGACCTGAGGAACAGCCCAGGGCAGCAAGAGGAGCCTTAGAAGGAACGTGTACTTAGAAGGAATGTGTGAGTGTGCTTGGCATAAACCAGGGCATCTGAAGTTTTTTTCTGAATTCCTCCTTCATTCTATCTCTTCTCCAACCCAAGCTTTTAATCAAAAGATTAACCGGGTATGGTGGCGGGTGCCTGTAGTCCCAGCTACTCGGGAGACTGAGGCATGAGAATCACTTGAACCTGGAAGGCAGAGGTTGCAGTGAGCCAAGATCATGCCACTGTACTCCAGCCTGGGAGACAGAGTGAGATGGGCAACCAGGACAGTGCACCACAGAGAGGACATAAGAGGCAGGAGGGAAGAGGAGTGAACTCGGACACGAGCATGAAGAAACCTCAGTGTCCATGCCAGAAGGCTTTTTGGAATTGTCTGGTCCAAAGACAGCAAATAGGTAGGAGGTACTCTTTCTTCCCACTTCCCACACCCGCAGCAGGCACCAGATCCATCATGGTACCACTTCCTGCTGCATAGGAGCTGGTCTCAGTATCCCCTCACCACAGGAATATGCGCTCAAGGTGCCAACACCTGATCTGGTCCAACCCCTCAATTGTCAAGTGAGAAAACTGAAGACCAAGGAGGAAATAAGTTCTGGAGTAATTTTTAGTGAGTGCAAAAGCCAGGTCTTCACTTCCCCCATCTGTCTTTTTTTTTTTTTTTTTGAGATGGTGTCTTGCTCTGTCACCCAGGCTGGAGTGCAGTGGCGCAATCTTGGCTCACTGCAAGCTCCGCCTCCCGGGTTCACGCCATTCTCCTGTCTCAGCCTCCCGAGTAGCTGGGACTACAGGCGCCCGCCACCATGCCAGGCTAGTTTTTTTGTATTTTTAGTAGAGACGGGGTTTCACCATGTTAGCCAGGATGGTGTCCATCTACTGACCTTGTGATCTGCCCGCCTCAGCCTCCCAAAGTGCTGGGATTACAGGCCTGAGCCGCTGTGCCCGGCCTGCCACTTTTTTTAAAGCACATGTGGATGATGTCATGAATGCCCAACTGGGAAAAGGGGCTCAAGGGAGGAGAGGGAGAGCAATAAGCATCAAAGAGGAGGTAAGAGTTGAAGAAGATGCCAGCCAATGGGGTTACTGACCAGTGGGTAGCTGCTGAAGGCCGGCTCCAGGCCAACCCTCTGAAAGTCATTCTCCAAATGCAAAAAACTTCCAATGAAAACCTTCTGCCAGGTCTAGGACAGAACAATTCAGCCATTTTTCACAGAGATAGGGAGAGATACTGGGGCGGGGGAGGGGAGAAGTCTGCAAAATAGTCAGAGAATCACATTTGCTTATAAAATGGCAGAAGAGGAAGGGGCCAGGGACAGGAGAAGCCACCAAAGCTGAGATCATGGTAAACTGCCTTCAAGAGAAAGTCCGTGGCTTCCCATAGGAAATGGAAAAGGACAGTGGCACGAACGGCAACTTTGAAAACCCATCAATAATTCAGTGAATTGGACGTTTGGAGAATCCGCCCTTCAGCAAAGTGATTTTCAGAGAACCGGCTTTGGCAGCTTGATCTTGGCCTACTTCCCCAAGGCCAGAGGGTGAGGCAGCAAAGGCCGCAGGAAGAGGCCAAGAGGCAGCATCTCCTGTTTGGGTCTATGGCCAGGTTTCCTGCTTCGGTGAACCCATCAGTCAATTGTTACTTCTTCCCAGATTAGCCATGTCTGGACCTCATGGGGCAGAATGTTCCCTGAGGTGTAAAGAACCAAGAGATGGCAAAAAAGCTGTTGGGCCTGTGATGGGGCAGCTGGAAGGGCAGACAGGCACCAAGGAAGGGGAGCCAAAGAAGATGTCAGCAAGTGGGATGGAAGGTCCTGGAGAGCCCTGGCACCCCAAATGCACCCAAATGACTTTGTGAACAAAAATCTCCTAACTTAGGTTTGCCCGCAGAGACAGGATGGCTTAGCTGTTCATGGAGTCTTACACCGAGACCTTTATTTTCTGTTTCCCAGGTAACAAATCCCCAAAAGAATTCTTACCACGGAAGTTGGGGTGATACGAGCCGTGGTGTCCAAGATGCCATTTGCCTGTAGAAAAACAAAAGAGAGATTTTCAGAGGAATCCCCGTAGGGGTACCACGGCCCCCTGAGGAGTTGATCACACACTCAGCTCTCCATTGGCTTTGCCTTACACTGTGGACAAGCAAAGAGAGGCTGCAATGCGGTATACAAGCCACGCTTTGCTCTCTGGGGCCGAGATGCTGTCCACAGGGACACATAAAGGATGACTCCAGACTCACACAGGAAACCACAGTGAAAGGGGAAGACAGCCCATCACCAGGAGCCCAGAGAAGCTTAAGCCTCTGCCCCTCAAAGAGGGCTCCGCAGACACAGCAACCCCATATGGGCCATCACCCCCTTCACTTTGCCCTCCTGCGCTGGGGCCCTGCAAAGACACCAGGCGGCCCAGGGTGCAGGTGCACCGCCCCACGTCATCTCAGAAATGTCCGCTTCCTGCCTGGTTTCATCATCTTCCTCTCTAGCCAACGTCAGCAGCCCGCAGTTCAAGCACCGAGACACCTACGGGGCAGCAAATGAGGAAACTCAGATGCCCCGCTGCTCCTCGGTCTGCAAATGCGTTCAATCTGGGGGAATAATTGGGTAATGTGTGGCAGGAGCTCTGACAGTGTCAGAACTCTCTGATCTGCTCTTCCGCTCTGAGGAGTAGACCCCAGGGGCGTCACCCCCATGGTGAGGAGGCAAAGAAAAGAATGTGGTACAAAGATCGAGACGCTGGCAGCATTAAACCGCTCAAACGAGAGAGATTAACGGGCAACCACGGGAGTATGTCTAAGTACATTATTTGATGTGGCCTCAATAAGACACTATCAAACTATTTTTTCAAGGCAAATGCATGTAGCAAAAATTAAGAATTGGTGAAGCTGGATGAAGTGCCTCTGGGAGTCCATTATTCCCTCCCTGAAACTGCTCTATTGGATTGAAAAAAAAGATTAATAAAAAATTGAGAGAAATGAGCTCTCAATTTCTCTCAGTTGAGTGACTCACGTCTATAATCCCAACACTTTGGGAGGCCGAGGCAGGCGGATCACATGAGGCCAGGAGTTTGAGACTAGCCTGGGCAACATGGCAAAACCCTATCTCTACCAAAAATACAAAAATTAGCTGGGCGTGGTGGTACATGTCTGTAATCCCAGCTATTCGGGAGGCTGAGGCAGGAGAATCACTTGAACCTGGGAAGTGGGGGTTGCAGTGAGCAGAGACTGAGCCACTGTACTCCAGCCTGGGCGAAAGAGTAAGACTTTGTCTCATATAAACAAACAAACAAAAAAAAATTTGAGAGAAATGGATTAAGCATTATGTGAAATATTTGGATTAAACATTACATGGGAACATGACTATATTAAAATTATGAAAAGTATTGTTTAATCATAAAAATTATAATATGTAAAATTATATTACACGGAAACATAGAATAATGTGAAGGGGGAAAAAGTGGAGCCCAGCGGTATTTGCACAGCTAGGCAACACAGAGACACATGGACCAAGATGAGAAGCAAAGTGTGAGTGTTGTAAATGGATCGATATTCCTTTGGCGGGTCTTTAATTTTTCCTAAAAGTGTACTTTAGTTCATAATTTCAACAGCTGGATATGCTTAAATATCCTGCCCAGGATGTGCAAAAGGTGTCGTGAGTGGTGAGGGGGTGAGGAATGGCAGCTAAAGAGTCAAGCTGCAAACAGTTGCTTACTTGGAGTTTAAAAGCATGAAAAGGGAGGGGCCGGTGAGGTCAAAACAGCTCCAGAAGAAGCCAGCCCCCCTCCTACAGCATAGGGGCTGAGTCTGGGACAGCCCTGAGACCAAACCCTTCCTGGCTATGAGGTTTATTATTTATTTACTTATTTGTAGATACAGGGTCTCACTATGGTGCCCAGGCTGGTCTCGAACTCCTGGGCTCCAGGGATCCTCCCACGTCAGCCTTCCAGAGTGCTGGGATTACAGGTGTGAGCCACTTTGTTCAGCCAGCTGTGAGGTTTACCCGGACGCGGGTAACTGGCCTAGTAAGGAGTGTCAGCCCACAGTGGCAGTTTTACAAATGGTGTCCTGGTGCTGATGTTGTTAACATAATGACTCCTTGGGGTATGGGAAGAAAGGGATTGGTAAAAGAGAAGTGTGGGACCTTAATTGGTCTCTCCTACAGCCTGGGACTTGCCCCTTCTGGGACAAAGAATACCACACTCCAGGCTGAGCTTCCGTAAAAGGATATCAGGCTCTTTAACCCAGAGTGGGACAAAAGGGCCAATAGCAGAGGCAGCAGCCCTGGGTCTGGGTAGAACAACCCCCCGCAGGTTCACATGGTTCAGACACCCAAGGCATGCCCACAGGGCCACCCGCTTGTGGTCGCACCCTCCCTCCCTTGCAATTTCCTGTATGGTGGAGAAGGCAGGGATCCCAAGGGGCCCAGCTCTTTGAGAGTTAGACTAACAAATGCAGGCAGCTGAGGGTACTTCTGGGAATACTGGGTTGCCTTGGCTCTTGGAGGGGAGAACGGCAGTGAGGCAGAGCCTCAGGGCAAGGCTGGGACCAGATATACCTGTCTAGACCTGGCCTCCGCCCCTCCAGGTTAGGCAACTTGTCTTCACCAGTCTGCAACTCAGTTCTCTTGCCAATACAATGGGGGAGATAATGATCTTCATGCCAATAAATACTCAGCCCAGTGCCTAGCACATAATAAATGCTGAGTAAGAGATGCCTTAAAAATGTTTTAAAGGAGAGGAAGTCATTGGACAATATGGCAGACATTGCTGGTCTCCCAGCAATGCCCACGTCCTGTGTATCCTGCTAATAGAACTGTGGTTTCATTCAAAGGGAGGGAGATTACCATGCCCAAGTTCAAGTCAGTCACTACAACGTTGTCCCCAGTTTCTCAATCTGGGAGTGCAACAGTGAGGCGTGGCCAAAAGACCCAGCTCTGGCCAATAAGATGCAAGTGCAATTCTTGGGGCGCGGGCAGAGCTGAGCCACCTCCCTTCTCTTCTTCCTTCTTTGAGCCAAATCATGATTCAGGGGCCTAAAGTTGCTGGATGGCAGTCATGAGGCAGCAAGCATGAGGACAAACACAAAACACTTACATGCTAAGGACGGCAGAGCAGAAAGATCGAGTGAGCGCACCTGGCTCCCGGCAGCATCTTTGAGCAGCTGAGCTAATGAAAGCAACCACTTACCTTGAAACTTACGGTAATGGGAGGAAAATAGCTCCATGTATGTTTTAATTCACTGTTAGGTCTTTTCAGTTCCTTATAGCTGAGAGCATCCCTAACTTACATAGCAAGACATGAACAGGAGAGCAGACAGGCAGTATGTTTGGGATTTGCAAACACAAGGCAACTGCCACTGCAGTAAATGCAACAGGCAGACGGGGCCCAGAGTTACCTATCATCCCAGTGATGTAACCCGCCTGCTGCAGCACCTCTGCCAAGGTGGTTTCGTTGAGCGGAAGGCCTCCCACAGAGGTGACTGCAAAGTTGTGCGTGACTCCATTGCGAAGGCCAAGTCGGCCAGTGAGCAAGGAAGCCCGGGAGGGTGAGCAGGTGGAGGCAGCTGCATGGAAATCCACAAACCTGCAGGGAAAGGACAGTGGTCAGGACTGCAACAACCACGGAAGCCAGAGTAAAAGAAAAGGCAATGCCCACTCAGTTCCTGGGATTTCAGTGCTCAAAGGTCAAAGATCACCTAGTCATGGGACAGGTCAGCAAATGGGATTTCTGGTTGGGCACGGTGGCTCACCCCTGTAATCCCAACACTTTGAGAGGCTGAGGTGGGAGGATCACCTGAGGTCAGGAGTTCAAGACCAGCCTGGCCAACATGGTGAAACCCCATCTCTACTAAAAATTTAAAAATTAGCCGGGTGCAATGGCATGCTCCTGTAGTCCCAGCTACTCAGGAGGCTGAGACAGGAGAATCGCTTAAACCTGGGAGGCGGATGGCCAGGTGCAGTGGCTCGAGCCTTTAATCCCAGCACTTTGGGAGGCCGAGGCAGGCGGATCATGAGGTCAGGAGATCGAGATCATCCTGGCTAACATGGTGGAACCCCGTCTCTACTAAAAATACAAAAAATTAGCTGGGCGTGGTGGCGGGCGCCTGTAGTCCCAGCTACTCGGGCGGCTGAGGCAGGAGAATAGCGTGAACCCAGGAGGCGGAGCTTTCAGTGAGCTGAGATGGCACCACTGCACTCCAGCCTGGGCAACAGAGTAAGACTCCGTCTCAAAAAAAAAAAAAAAAAGAGGTTGCTATGAGCCAAGATCGTGCCACTGCACTCCAGCCTGGGTGACAGGAGCGAGACTCCATCTCAAAAAACAAAACAAAACAAAACAAAAAAGGAAATAGGATTTCTGGGTTTCAGGAAAATGAAACCCAGAGAGGTAACACAAGTAGTCCAAGTTTCCACAACTCATTCAAATGGATTTAATCCAACAAATTCAGTCAATCTTATTTATTCGAAGATTCCACATTTCAAATGTGCCTACTTACTAACGTATTTTTTAATCCCAAAATCAATACTTGAGGTGATTTAGGGTCATTCGCGGATATAGGCAGACCTGCAAAACGTTTGAGTAGCTTTGGCGCACACGTGCTCAGTGGAGGCTGAACAAGGTGACCCTCTCCCTCTGGTTTCAGCTCTCATATCACACTGTAAACAAATGTCCTCACAGTCTATTTAGAGCCACGGCTTTTGCATTTTTGTGTTTCGTGTTGGTGGTTTCACTGTGGAAAATGGCCCCCAGATGTGTCTACGTGCTGCGTAGTGTTCCTAAGCGCTCAAAGGCTTTGATGTTCCTTATAGAGAAAATGGATGTGTTAGGACCGGGTGTGGTGGCTCACACCTGTAATCCCAGCACTTTGGGAGGCCAAGGCGGATGGATCACTTGAGGTCAGGAGTTCAAGACCAGCCTGGTCAACATGGTGAAACCCTGTCTCTACCAAAAATATTTTTTAAAAAATTAGCCAGCACTTTGGGAGGCTGAGGCGGGCAGATCACGAGGTCAGGAAATCGAGGCCATCCTGGCTAACACGGTGAAACTCCATCTCTAGTAAAAATACAAAAAGAAATTAGCCAGGCGAGGTGGCGGGCGCCTGTAGTCCTAGCTACTTGGGAGGCTGAGACAGAAGAATGGCGTGAATCCGGGAGGCGGAGCTTGCAGTGAGCTGAGATCGCACCACTGCACTCTAGCCTGGGCGACAGAGTGAGACTGAGTCTCATAAAAAAAAAAAAGTTAGCCGGGCATGGTGGTGTGTGCCTGTAACCCCAGATACTCGGGAGGCCAAGGCAGGAGAATCGCTTCAACCCAGGAGGCAGAGGTTACAGTAAGCGGTTATCGTGCCACTGCATTCCAGCCTGGGCAACAGAGCAAGACTCTGTCTCAAAAAAAAAAAAAAAAAATATATATATATATATATATATGTGTGTGTGTGTATATATATATATGTATATATATATATGTGTATATATATATATACACACACACACATATACACATACATATACATAGTAAGGTATCTTTACACAGCAACATTCATAAAACACAGTTATGTATTAATTTAATTAGTGAACGAAAATTTTCTGACTAGATGCTCACAGGACGCTAACCCCATATTTTCCCTAGGAGCAAAAGAGTCAGTATTACCTAATTCAGTACTCACGGTGGCTTGATAGAACATAACTATTATCAATAACAAAAATTGACTGAGGTCGGGCGCGGTGGCTCACTCCTTTAATCCCAGCACTTTGGGAGGCTGAGGCGGGTGGATCACCTGAGGTCAGGAGTTCGAGACCAGCCTGACCAACATGGTGAAACCCTGTCTTTACAAAAAACACAAAAATCAGCCAGGCATGGTGGGGCATGCCTGTAATTCCAGCTACTTGGGAGGCTGAAGCAGGAGAATCGCTTGAACCCAGGGGTTGGAGGTTGCAGTGAGCCGAGGTCATGTCACTGCACTCCAGTCTGGGCGACAGAGCAAGACTCTGTATCAAAAAAATTTAAAAAAGAGTTGACTGAATCTATGACCTATTACTCTATGCCCAGTCCTTTTTTAGACATTGTTGAGAAATACGAAAGAATTCTAGTCATTATCCTACCCTCAAGGAACACGCAGAAACAAGACATTGAGTGACAAGACGTGAGCAAATTTAAGTACAACAATGCACAATGGTATGTAATTAAGACCCCAAATAGATGGATAGAGCCACAGGAAATGGAGATAAGGAATGCTCTAGGATTGAGATACAGAGAAAGAACCTGATGACGGTCCAAGGACTAGAGAAATCTCCGTAGAGGAAGTGGCATAGAGGTTGGAATCAATCTAAAAGATGGGACTGTACGAACACTTCAAAAATCACAAGGACAGGCATTCCTGGTGGAGGAACAGCAGGATATTCTTATTTTTGCAAAAGGAAACACTGAAAGGATACACCAGAGGCTAATAAAAGAATGGTTTCCCACAAGGGGAGGAGAGGGAGAAACAGTATGTGGAGGGGGAAAGCAAGATTTTCTGGACTATGTTGTTACACAGTTTGACTTCTGCACCTTGCAAATGTTTTATATGGCCAAAATGTAGAATTAAACCACAAGGGAAAAACAAGCAGACCCTATAATTAAAAAAAAAAAAAACCCACTGAAACAAATAAATCTGATCATATAATAAACAGTAATATGACCACACAGAGGAAAGAATCATTACTGGGTGCTAAGTAATATTAGCACCCAGTGTTCTGGCTCTACAACATTAATGGGATATAATCTAAGGACAAAGAGAACCACACTTCACTCAGTAGTTGTTCCATCGGTGGCAATGTTGGGTTCAGGATTTGAAACTATTTCATGTGATATGGTAGAGTAAAGCAAACAAGTAATTATATTAATGTTTCTAACCAGGAACCAAGATTTCCAGGGTAAAAGGTAAAGATATAAAATAAAAGAAGATAATAAAAAACCTATAATGTTAAAATTAATGTAGAAGTCATTATGAACTCGTGATTTTTAAAAATATAGATCTCCTTGGCCGGGTGCGGTGACTCACGCCTGTAATCCCAGCACTTTGGGAGGCCGAGGCGGGTGGATCACGAGGTCATGAGATCGAGACCATCCTGGCTAACACGGTGAAACCCCATCTCTACTGAAAATACAAAAAAATTAGCCAAGTATGGTGGTGAGCACCTGTAGTCCCAGCTACTCAGGAGGCTAACGCAGGAGAATGGCGTGAACCCGGGAGGCAGAGCTTGCAGTGAGCTGAGATCACGCCACTGCACTCCAGTCTGGGTAACAGAGCAAGACTCTGTCTCAGAAAAAAAAAAAAAAAACTATATATATATATATATATATATATATACACACACACACACACATACATACACACACACACACAGATAGATAGACAGATAGATAGATCGATTGATCTTCTAGCTACTATCTGCTGAAAGAGCCTAGAATCATTGACACTCCTGTAGCAATGAGGGCACTACACCCCTATCTTTGTTTTAAACACCATCCTGCAATAAAAGGAATCGGATCTCCTTGGAGAAATAGTTAATTCCAGATTTGAGCAAGGAGAAGTAACAGGGGAATCTGGGACATCTGCTTGTGCCAGGAGGCAAAGACCCAAGAGCCAACTTTGAGGGGCTCCCGCTGGCCAAACTTGGGACAATGTGGGCATCAAAAAGCAATTAGGCCCGGCGTGGGGCTCACACCTGTACCAACTCTTTGGGAGGCTGAGGCGGGTGGATCACTTGAGGCCAGGAGTTCGAGACCAGCCTGGCCAACACGGCGAAACTCCGTCTTTACTAAAAATACATAAAATAGCAGGACATGGTGGCGCATGCCTGTGATTCCAGCTACTCAGGAGGCTAAAGCACAAGAATCGCTTGAACCCAGAAGGCAGAGGTTGCAGTGAGCCGAGATCGCGCCACTGCACTTCAGCCTCAGAGACAGACAGAGCAAGACTTGGTCACATACACACGAAAAAGAACAATTAGTGTATTTGATTGAAGGCATGAATAAATAAAAATCCATTAGTCCATACTGACACTCAGAAAAATTCATTTACCACCATTAGAAAAGCATGTTATGCCAATTCCACACCCTAAAAATTCGTAATTAAACATTCATCTTGACACTTTAGAAGGATCATAGTCATCACTAGGTGATGAGGGAAAGCACTCCTTTTCAGAAGCATGCCAGGCAGTCGGACGCAGGGAAGGGATGGCAGGCTCAGGAAATCACCATTTTTGCAACCCCCTCCCCACCTCACCCAACCCTCATCTATTTTTTTTTCTATTGGGGCAGCCAAACCAATGCATCCCCCAGCTAATAACTGATGATCAGTGGATGTGTTGGGAGTGGTTGTTCAGAGTGTCAACCTCGGAGCATCATAAATTGGACAGAGCTGGCGATCCCCACCTTATAAAATGATTAAGTTTAGTGTCATGCACAACGGGTACCCTGACCTCGTACATCTCCTGATGGGATGCAAGATGAAGTTTATAAAATCAAGGATTCTTGCCAAAAGCATTTACCCTGAATCTAATCAAACCTCTAGATCTAATTTCCAGGTTACAGGAAATACA